GGCTATATGATGAATATTTAAGTACCCGGAGATATTTACAATTTATATGTTCCACTTCCCCCCATATCCAGCACAATGCAGTGGAACTGAAGTCGAAGCTGTTTCCAGCAGTATCAAGAGTTACCTCCCTTCTCTAGAGTTTCCTTTGAACTCGCCAAGCCCTGCAAAGAATCTTGTAAAGGGAGATAATTACTAAATGTTAAAGAACACTGAAACCTTATTAATGATCACACGTGAAGATTCTGAACTCAATGAATAAGATGATGCAACAAGAAATGGGCATCAGTATCATCTTAGAAATATTTTACAATCTGACAAATGTTCCATGTGATGATATCAAAGCTCTACAGAGAAACAAATGTACCATCCAGTAGAATTTGTCGGTTATTCTCAAATCACATTTAAAAGCCCATCCATCCATTATTCCTGAATATTTTAAGACCGAGACATTAATACATCCAAACACCTGATGTTGTAAGGAGACAAAGATACAGTCTGAATGTTGATGCAGACAATACTGTTCATTACTTGATGATTCCACGTCTACAGTGTTAGTTTGGTCCTGTTTCTGGGAATGGACTGTTTTCAGTCACTATTCAGACCAAAGGCAAACAAATCTATTGGAGATCAAAATGGGTCAATTAAATATTTGGATGAAACGGAAGACTCAAACTGACTTCATGAACATAGAGAGCCTTCATGAAATGTCGGATACATGCATGTTATATATACCCTTCAACAAAAGTTAAGCACCATCATTTTACAAAGTTGATGTTTGACAATATATCACAAATTGGCTTCTGCAGGAGTTGTGGGACTTTCAGAAAAGCATTGCTTAACTTTGGGTATACATATATGAGTCAATATGGGCGAAAATGGAGATTTTACACAGCACTTGTCAATGTAATGTCTTCATCTACTCTTAACAGCCTTTGAAAAAATAATGAGAGAGTGAGTTTAGTTTTACATCGCTTTTAGCAATATTCCAGCAATATGATGGCAGGGACACCAGATATGGGCTTCACACATTGTGCCCATGTTAAGGAACCTAACCTGGGTCTTCGGCGGGATGAGCAAACGCTATAATCTTATGTAAAAAAAAAATAGATCAATGAAAAATACTCGTACATTATATATCTGCATTTCAGGATAAGGAAATGTCAGGCTATACTTCAAAAGAACTTATGATAATTGTTGCAGATTTCTTCTTCTACTTCAACCAGACACTGGAAGATTCAAGAGAATGGGTGACCTACCGCTTCCGCAGCGTATTGATCACCCTTTGTATAATCAAAGATTGTCCTTCCACAGATTATGCTTTTGGCATTGTGAAACATTTGATTCATTGTCTGGTTATACACCAATATACACAGGAAGTCATTCATAGAAACAAGGTCTTCCCAACAACTGTCAAACAGCAAAACCTTCAATATACATTCAATTCTATAGTGTCCATATGATCTGATAACATTTCCTAATTCTGAATAAATACATGGCATTCTGTTAAAAGCATTAAAGCATGGATTCTGTCTCAAAGCAAGATTTGGTTTTACAAGTCTAAACAATTTTGACAGAATTAAATAGCATCAGATAAATAGTAATTGCTGATTGCCAACCTGAAAGGGCTGCTATACAATTATGTACCGGTACTAAAATTCTAAACATGTGACAAGTTCACACAAAAAAGGAAAATGATCATTTGATTATGTTATCATAAATATCTTCTGAGCAGTTATATTCCATTTGTTAAGTATGTACAATATATTCAACACCTTTGGTTCTTCATGTAGAAGCTCCAGGCCTCTACATGTCTGTGATTCCTGGGTATATGATCCTTTTGGCAGCAACTCAGCAGAAAAAACTGGCATGTTTTACAATATACCGATACTGGAGCTAAAAGCCACAGGTGAGCATATTCCATCATTAAAATCACAAAGTGAGCAAATACATTTTTTGTAAGTTACTATTTTCACTACACAAAGATCCTTCAGAAACTCTATTGAAACATAATGGAGATTTGATCACAGCAATAACAAATCTGTATGAAAAACCCAGTTCCAGATAAACAATGGACTGAAATTAATCCCTATCAATCCTCGAATATTCATTGTATTATATGTCAATTCTGTTAGGAAAGACCACAGACCCATTTGCAAACCTCGCCTCATTACGAGTCCATTGTGAATGACAATGTCACAAAAGGACATCTCAAAAGCCGGACTTCCATCCTGTCTACTCAGAAAAACATCTCTTCCACAGAAAATTTCCTGGGATTCAGTAACTCAATCATTTCAAAAATGACTTTTTCCAATTCTGTGGGACGAGGCTGAGATGGTGACATCACTCCCATAACAAACAACAGAAATGATATGACATTGCTATTACACTGGATAATCGAGGCTGACGCTTCCCACGAAGCTTTCCATTAATCTTCCCCTCAACTTACCTCTAGCCTTCTGTCAAATCGGAATCATCCTAATGACATTCTAAACTAGGATCTACTTACTTCTCATCTAAGAGCCTTATTCCCATGTAAAACGGGTTCTTTGTCAAATACAGGAATTAAACAAACATATTCAAACATGAAAAACACAATCATATCATTTCCAATTTTTAAAAAAAACAAAAATTTCTTTAATTGTTAACATTTAAAGTTACAATATCACATCAATTGTTGTTCATGTCTCACCTGCTGATGGTGAGATAATCTTTAAACATCGGCCATGCGAGTGCTGTGCTGACATAGTGCAGTCTAAGTAAACTTAGGCTCAGTATTATTCATTACACTGCTATACTGAGTTTAAGAAACCCCAGTAGAAGGTCACGTCAGCTTACCTTTTGGACTGACCAATCAGAACACAGCTTACCAAATCGCAAAAGTTAACATTCGCACATACCGTTTGAACCTTTACCTAAAAAAACTCGAAGGATTCTGAATGCTATTTTCCGCACGACTGCTTCCGAGTGATACACGCAATGAGTAAACAGTTGAAATAGCGTTTTTGTCAATACTCAATGATGTCTTCTTTCGGAAATATAAGCTAATAGTAACCATGTCATTAGAAACCCATAAGCGTATATACTGCAGGTCAAATACCTGTGTTTTATGTGGATTTTCGTTTGTTGATAGATCAGTGTCGGCGACCAGGGAAGAGAAAATCCAAAAAAACAATTTGTCGTTGTCTGATTGGTTAAATCCGTTCGGCAGTCTCACGTTTGATTGGACTGTCATCGGTCGCTCAAAGGTTAGCTGACATGACTGTCTACTAGGGTTTGTTAGACTCAGTATAGCAGTATAATGAATAATACTGAGCCTAAGTTCACTTAGACTGTGAAATAGTGATTTCCTGTGTCCGACAACATTACTTACATCATGATCAGAAGTTAAACGAGTCACTAAATCCTGTATCTATGTGTAACATTATCTCATAACAACGTGCAGTCTCTGTAGATCAAATATTCAAACTTGGTTAACAGTAATACACACATACATACATGAGGTTCATCAGCTGTTTTTATGACACAAAGTGACCTTTGACCCTATTCATTTCAGCTTGGAACAACTTGATATTCCACGTAACTCATTTCTTATTTAGGACAACAAATTAAATCCTAAAAGCAAATATAATGACAAACCTGTCTTTGATAGGTATTTATCAGTTGTAAATGTTTAACTTCTTATGGATAGTGTTTCAGAGCACCTTGTCTGTCTCACTGTCTCTAAACGGAAGTATTTACCTTCGGCCCAGCCATGTCTGCAATGCTAAAGTCCAGATTTCCTCAGGTTCAGAATCTCCAAAGTCACTGAGCTTATTTGTTTCTATCAGTATTATATATATTCAGAGACAAAGCGTTAGTCTAAGCTCCTCCATGCGTCTCCATCCAGTCCAATCATGGGACATACTGATGAACAAAGAAGGCATGGTTATCCATCAAATTCTTGCTGACATTACTCTGCTGAAAAGGCAAGTAGTAGCCTTGCAGATAGATATTTTGTAAGAAACAATAGAAACAGTAAATAACTGTTACCCAAAAAATGTTTCAAGTTCTAAAAAACAACCTGGCTGCATTTCATGACAAAACAGCAAGATGTGGTCTTGTTAAAAGGTTTTCAGCCTTAGGGATGCAATGATTATACCTAGTGACATTGTCTTACAAAGCTTTTGGGATGAATTCAGCTTTATGATTAAGTCTCCTTATCCTGTCAAAGGTCAATTTGTGTTACTATGGAAACCATATAATTACATGTATTGGGGAAAAACCTGAGGGATGTTTTAGCAAATATGAAACAGATATGCAACAAAATTAACTTTACAGATAGAAAAACAACAGAACATTTCAATGGACATGTTAAATAACGAGAGCTATGTCCCACGTACAGTGATACATGATGCTATATGTGGAACAGGAGGGTGAGTGAGATAGTAAGAGTATTGCAGTACTGGCATGTCACCTGTATGTGAGAGGAGGGTTCAATGTGACGCAGGTCCTGTGAGGTGCTGCCAGACACCTACAGCCATGCTGACCAGATCACCGAGGGAAACACACCACGTCAAGATCACAACTGAAGAATGAGTGAGTTTAGTTTTATGCCGCTTTTAGCAACAATTCTGCAATATCATGGTGGGGGACACCACAAATGGGCTTACCCCTATGGGGACTCAAACCTGGGTCTTTGGCGTGTGACAAGCGAACGCTTTAACCACTAGGCTACCCCCCCGCCAACACAACTGAAGACCACCAGCAATGGGCTTCAGATGTTGTACTCATGTTGGGAACCAAACCTCAGCCTGTGTGTGCCAGCCAATGCTTTAGCCACAAGAGAAGTCAAATATGTACAATCAGGGCAAATTGTGATTTCTACATATAATCTTTTGAACCTGGCACTATCCGTGAAGTTCCGGGTTAGAATTGATCTTCAGTAACCCATGCTTGTTGTAAGAGGCGACTAACGGGATCAGATGGTCAGGCTCACTGACTTGGTTGGCACATGTCATCGTATCCCAATTGCACAGATCGATGTTCATGCTGTTGATCCCTGGATTGTCTGGTCCAGACTCGATTATTTACAGACTGCCACCATACAGCTGAAATATTGCTCACTCACTCACTGTATCTATCACTGCATCAAGGAGATAACTCTGGAAGGGGAATGGCAGCCCCAGCCATTGTCTCCAGCCCATGGTGGTGATCTGCAGAGAAAGAACCTCCTGTTCTGCATTGACACATTACAATTATTGGCCTGTCTTCATATTTGTTTGCTGAAACCCATACGGTTCTTTGCCTTCTGCTGAAAACAAATGTCATGTAGTATAGCAAATAAATTAAAAGCCCTATGAGCTGAGGAGTATGAATAATTGAATAATACTGAAAATACAAGCCACTACTGTCGTCATCGGGCAGCCTAAACTGTCAACTGAAAGGCCAGCAAACAGTGGAAAAAACGTTTTCTGTGAGTGAGTGAGTGAGTTTGTTTCAGTACCACACCAACAGTATACCAGCTCTCATCACATCAGCGGAATGGGACAGGAAAAATTGAAGTGAAACCCTTGACCACAGGTATGGTGTGGGCCAACCCAGAAATATAATGGGGATTTGAACCCACAACTGGAGGTTTCATACCCAAGTAAAGCAGCTCTACTGGGCCAACTGACGACTGGGTCATCCATGTCGCCTACATGGAGTGAACTGGGCACTGCTTTCAACAATACAGATTCCCACTTTCGATAAGTGAGTGAGTGAGTTGGGTTTTATGCCACTTTTAGCAATATTCCAGCAATATCATTGCTGGGGACACCAGAAATGGGCGTCACACATTGTACCCATGTGGGTATCGAACCCAGGTCTTCGGTGTGACGAGTGAATGCTTTAACCACAAGGCCACCCCGCCGCCCCCTACTTCCTAGGAGGTGTACTGACATACCATACAACATGGGTACTCTCCAAACAAGCATTGGCATGAGGACTATCAATCACATTCATGTAAAACAGCTGGCTAAGCCCTTTCATAACATAATGAGATCACCCATGTCCATCTGGGGAAAAGAAGGTTGAGGTTTTCTTTAAGTATCATCAAGTAGTTTCTCTGATCAGTATCCGGGTGAGGTTTAACATCACAGTATTCAGATTGGTTCAACAACATCACTCTGACCAGTATTTCAGCAGTATCACTGCTTGCGAGCCTAGAGTGATGTCGGTGTAGGACGTTTATCACTTTCATGAACCCTGCAGGTATAGTGCTGACATACAATGTTCACAATCATGTTAATTCTGGGACTCAAATCAATGATCAGCACATCCTAGCATCCCAAGGGATGTAACTCTGCACATCATATAACAGTATTATAGAATATCATTTAAAACCATCCTTCTTCAATACAATTTTCAGAAAGAGTTGCATGATGCCGACTTTGTATAGAGTGACACTGATCTGAAGAATAATGGAAGACTACATGCTAAAACTAAAAACACTTAAGTAAAACTTTGTACATAGCAATAAGCACTAGCTTTGAAGTTGGATGATAATTTAAAATATATAAAAGATTTAAAGATGCCTATGTTGATAACAGTTTTTATCACAATTGACATAACACTCAAGAAAGCTAAAAAGATGTACATATAGTTAAATAAACTTCTTGCAGTGAGTTCTCAATGCAATATATCACATACACAATCAGATAAAAATGGGATTACTATAACCTTTAGACTTCTCAATAAATTAGACAAAAGATTTCCTCTGAAACAGATATGAAACATCAACCTGTTCATCCTGCACACTGGCAGCTATGCATGAAAACAGGCGGACAATGCATTCATCCAACCAGAATGAACTATTCCTGTGCTCGTTTAGTTCCATGTTAGCATGGGTTCTCCCCGAATCAAAAACTATACACTCAGTCCTAAAACTTTATTTTTAGAGTTCCATGATGCAACTGCTCCCTAACAGTGTTCACTACCTCAGTGATAGGATACATAACGTAGCCCGTTCACTTCAGATTCTCACGCCCTTGAATACTTGAGGTCACTGTTTTACATCACAATCTTCTCAAATATGGAGTAAGAATTTTAAGGTACAGCTTCACCTTGGTTTGGTTATGTCCTGAATGTTAGCTCAATGACACTGTGAATCTCCACTGTGTATCTTCGCCATGTATGTGAATTTACAGTACGAACTGACCCGAACATACAGGAGTGCCACTGTTATCAGCCATGATATTGAGAAACCTAAATCTTCTCCCATAATAAACCCGGAGAATGATGGTCCAATGAATACCTGAAATCACTAATTAGGACCTACAAAATTTGTCACCCCATGATCACTACCAGAGCACGGCTGTTCCCCGAAGGACTGGCAGTTGTACCACAGTTTGTGCAAGCTGCACCTGTCTACCCAGCATCTGGATTTGATGACTCTATAGGTTAACTCCAACAGTGTAACACGTAACAAGTGACTCTCAATCACACAAACGAGTAGTGATTCTCCACTGCCCGGCCATGAGAGAGCTGTTGCTGTGAGCCTTGGGCCTGTTCCCGTACAACATTCTCAATGGACGATGTCCTTGACCTCACAGAACCACTTATCACAACAATGTCACGATTATTGTCAAAATGCCCATGATGTGCTGATAAAGAATTTCTGATCCCCCCTGCATTTCCATGTGATCTTGGTGATCCCCGCGGCAAGGTCGTAGGAGTACGCGGCCTCTCCATGGCAACGATATAGTCTGTTAAGGTAACATCCGATGACCCTCCAGATTCCAGTGGGATAGGATGTGTACGGAAATGCTCCAGCATGTCAAATATTGTCTGAAACCACAGGTGTTGTACACGACATTGCCCTTCATTGTTAATTGTCATCCGTAAATGCTGAAAACAAGAAAAAACAGAGTGAATACTCGTGGTTTAACACTGCTTTGTGCAGTATTTCTGTTATAACCTATTCTGACCTGTGATCCACACTCAGAGGGACCTATTCTGACCTGTGATCCACACAGGAAGACCCCCACAGGTTGTTAAGACCTATTCTGACCTGTGATCCACACAGGAAGACCCCCATAGGATGTTAAGACCTATTCTGAACTGTGATCCACACAGGAAGACCCCCACAGGTTGTTAAGACCTATTCTGACCTGTGATCCACACAGGAAGACCCCCATAGGATGTTAAGACCTATTCTGAACTGTGATCCATACAGGAAGACCCCAACAGGTTGTTAAGACCTATTCTGAACTGTGATCCACACAGGAAGAGCCCCACAGGTTGTTAAGACCTATTCTGACCTGTGATCCACACAGGAAGACCCCCATAGGATGTTAAGACCTATTCTGAACTGTGATCCACACAGGAAGACCCCCACAGGTTGGTAAGACCTATTCTGACCTGTGATCCACTCAGGAAGACCCCCACAGGTTGTTAAGACCTATTCTGACCTGTGATCCACACAGGAAGACTCCCACAGGTTGTTAAGACCTATTCTGACCTGTGATCCACACAGGAAGACCCCCACAGGTTGTTAAGACCTATTCTGACCTGTGATCCACACAGGAAGACCCCCACAGGTTGTTAAGACCTATTCTGAACTGTGATCCACACAGGAAGAGCCCCACAGGTTGTTAAGACCTATTCTGACCTGTGATCCACACAGGAAGACCCCCACAGGAAGACCCCCACAGGTTGTTAAGACCTATTCTGAACTGTGATCCATACAGGAAGACCCCAACAGGTTGTTAAGACCTATTCTGAACTGTGACCCACACAGGAAGAGCCCCACAGGTTGTTAAGACCTATTCTGACCTGTGATCCACACAGGAAGACCCCCATAGGATGTTAAGACCTATTCTGAACTGTGATCCACACAGGAAGACCCCCACAGGTTGGTAAGACCTATTCTGACCTGTGATCCACTCAGGAAGACCCCCACAGGTTGTTAAGACCTATTCTGACCTGTGATCCACACAGGAAGACTCCCACAGGTTGTTAAGACCTATTCTGACCTGTGATCCACACAGGAAGACCCCCACAGGTTGTTAAGACCTATTCTGACCTGTGATCCACACAGGAAGACCCCCACAGGTTGTTAAGACCTATTCTGAACTGTGATCCACACAGGAAGACCCCCACAGGTTGTTACGACCTATTCTGACCTGTGATCCACACAGGAAGACCCCCACAGGAAGACCCCCACAGGTTGTTAAGACCTATTCTGAACTGTGATCCACACAGGAAGACCCCCACAGGTTGTTAAGACCTATTCTGACCTGTGATCCACACAGGAAGACTCCCACAGGTTGTTAAGACCTATTCTGACCTGTGATCCACACAGGAAGACCCCCACAGGTTGTTAAGACCTATTCTGACCTGTGATCCACACAGGAAGACCCCCACAGGTTGTTAAGACCTATTCTGAACTGTGATCCATACAGGAAGACCCCCACAGGTTGTTAAGACCTATTCTGAACTGTGAGCCACACAGGGTGATCCACACAGGAAGACCCCCACAGGAAGACCCCCACAGGTTGTTAAGACCTATTCTGAACTGTGATCCACACAGGAAGACCCCCACAGGTTGTTAAGACCTATTCTGACCTGTGATCCACACAGGAAGACCCCCACAGGTTGTTACGACCTATTCTGACCTGTGATCCACACAGGAAGACCCCCACAGGTTGTTAAGACCTATTCTGACCTGTGATCCACACAGGAAGACCCCCACAGGTTGTTACGACCTATTCTGACCTGTGATCCACACAGGAAGACCCCCACAGGTTGGTAAGGGCATACTGGGACCTGTTCTGACTTATGATCCATTCAAGAAGACCCCCACAGATTACTTGGGACTATTTCAGAATCAATAGAGGTAAACAATCATGAGCTAATGTAGGAATGTTTGGCCTGGAATCTCCAGGGGAGGGCATGGTGTGCTGGGGACATATTCTCACCCAGGTATCAGGGGGTACTAGAACAGGACATGCCAGTTCTTCCTTACCTTAGCTCTACCCTGGAAGTTAAAAGTAAGGACATATTCTGACAGGGAAATCAGGGGGTACTAGCGCAGGCCAGGCCAGTTCATCCTTACCTTAGCTCTACCCTGGAAGTTAAAAGTGAGGACATATTCTGACAGGGAAAACAGGGGGTACTGGGGCAGGCCAGGCCAGTTCTTGCTTACCTTAGCTCTACCCTGGAAGTTAAAAGTGAGGACATATTCCCCTGTCCGTGTCTCACTCTTCCGGACAAGGAACACGCCATGTCCGATCGGACCTTGTTGCAGGACCAGCTGAGCAGCTTCAGCTCGAGACAGGGTCCCATGGAACCAGGGATATTCCCGCAACATTGTGTCAATTGAGCCTTCACCAAGCATATCCCGATGTTCTGAAATTGGTATAAAGAAATCTACAATTAAATTGGAATTAGACTCAGACATTGAAGCAGACATGGCAAGGTAGACTTAATCATCATTATTAAATCAGAATCACAAACAGTAAAAACTACTGCATCCCTTCAGAGATTTCCGGTAAATGAACAGGTAATAACCAACTGGTCAATGAAATGTGAAATCTGAGATAACTTATAACTATATATGATGATTTGCCACACACAGATATGCAGATACAATCATTATTCTCTGTGTGTTCTTGTAAACAAAGTAGGAAATTAGCAATCAGCTGTGGTTTGGTTAAAAAGTAATCAATAACATAATTTCAAGGATTCTGTTGAAATCATAATGAAAGTGTTAACTGTTGAAAGTGAACAAACCGAAGCCACTGTCGTATCTGGGTGAACCGGCCACATCCACTGCACTTGATACTCTACTGGATACAGGCGTGGCATGGGGTGTGCTCCACGGTCGGGGGGAAGGACGAGGAGGCACCTCCGGTGGGTTTGCTCCAATGGAACCCTGAGAGGAACTGCGCTGGTGGGCACTGATAGGAGGGGACTCTGTACAATACAAAAACATACTTTATTCAGACTTTCAACATAGCAAACAACTTGTAATGCACAAAATGCATATGTAATTTTAGATGATCGAGTTGTTTCAATACTTTAAACCTTTAAGGAAACAACCATTCTAGGATGTGGACGTGTGGGGGAAGGAGGGACATAATAGTGCCAAGAACAGTTCTAAAAGGAACAATTACATGTATTTATTCTAATTATAACGTAAACATTCCCTCTGGATTATGGTAGCCTTATTCCTGTGGATACACAGATTACATACAGAAAATCAAATGAAATTTTAACACTAAGTCATAGCTATTCCTATTTGATTTTCTGTATGTAATCTGTGTATCCACAGGAATAAGGCTACCATAATCCAGAGGGAATGTTTACGTTATAATTAGAATAATCAGTATAATAAATCTTTGTAGGACACAGTAAAGTACCTAAGGTAAAGAGATCTTAATCTTTACCTATTCTTAACAAATGAACACCTGTTCAATTTAGAATCGGTAATTATGCCTCTAAAAAGTAAAACAAAATACTGATCTCCACCCCAAGTACAGGTGCACTTCTAATGAAAATTAAATGGTTGCTTCCTATCTTTTTCAATCAGTCATAAAATATGTATCCACAATTCTTCTTTTAAAAAGTTTCTGTAACCACTGACATCAGACAAAAATGAGTTGGTCATGCATATGAGAAAAATCATGGAATATTTTCATCTTTATTTTCCAAGACCAAGATATCAGCGGTTGCATCCCTAAGAGTCATACTGAGTGAAGCATCATAAAATCTCTCTAAAGGCTCACACGACTGAAGCAATTTGTCATCTCACCTTTTCTCTCTATTGAGCCTGATGGAGCAGTGGGAAGCCTTGGTCTCCTTTCAAAACAAAACCATCAAGATGAAATTAAGGTTATTATCACAAAGTATCATCTCTCAAGTTCCCTGAGAGACCTGTCAGCATTACTGCTGCTGTGAGTGAGTGAGTGAGTTTAGTTTTACGCCACACTCAGCAATATTCCAGCTATATGGCAGCGGTCTACCGCTGCTATGACATCATCTGTCTACAGAGTTGAAAGAAACTTTACAGGAGTTTAAGTATAATTAGGCTTGCCAATGGCTCCAGATGACTTCACAACCAGCCGAAGAATTTCTCAAACTCAATGAAAGAGTTTCTTTGCACAATTCCAACTCTATCTAGATAACAGGATAATATCCATGTAGGTAGTCCCAACTTGGTCTTCAATAGGGTTGGGAATTGGTTAAAATCTCATAATTGATGATTGGTTCATTACAACAGATCAATCATCAAAAATAATTGATTAACGTCATTTATCCAATTTTCCTGTTATGTTGGTTAATGCACAAAGTGTTTGGTTTTCTTTTTTGCAAATTGTACAAAATGCATTTGCGAATTTCACATCTTTAAAGGATTACTAGTATGTTAGGAACATAAATCTCCTTGAGTCTTTAAGATAGATTGAATCATGACTTGAAACGAGCTTGTAGTGCTTATGAAATGCAAATTTAATGACCCAGACAGAACCAACCATGTGAGAAATATTGTTAATGCCAACAAGTGTTCCAAAGGTTTTTGTGTTCGATTATGAGAAAACATGATCGATTGCTTGGTCATTTAGTCACTGCAACCAATCTTCGATTATTTCAATTAATCGGACCAGTCTTCAAGTGACAGTCTAACCAGATGGTTTACACACAACCTCCAGAGATGTAAATACATTTAAAAGAATGTGGATGACAAGCTGAGTACATACATGGCCTGAGAATCATCTTCTGTACATCGGTTGTGCTGTATCACCCCCTGAACCACCTCCAGCCAGCTCTTCATCTCTGAATACGATGATGCCTCGATCACATACTCTATCGTGCCTTCTCCCTGAAATACATGACAACTCATTATACCTCGGCACCTTTGGTGGACATGAACAAGGTTCTAACTGGAACAACATTGAGATTAAAACCACAATCAGGTCAAGCCGTAACTTAAGGTCTAAACCTCTTTTTCCACTCTGAAGGACTTCCTTTGAGTGCGTCTTGCTTTTCAGATCCTTGTATCATCAAATATGAGTATTTACAATTTATACACTGTAAGGGAAAACACAGCTATTGTGTGAGTGATTTGGATTTTACGCCGCTTTTAGCAATACCCCAGCAATGTCATGGCGGGGGACACCAGAAATGGGCTTCACACATTGTACCCATGTTGGGAATCGAACCCGGGTCTTCAGCGTGACGAGCGAATGCTTTAACCACTGGGTTATCCCACCACTCCATATAGCTCATGACCCTCACTGTGTGATAATACTGGTACTCGGGAGTCTTACCTTCATCACAAAAGAATTTTCATGATCTGGCATCTCTAGTGCAGTTGTCTCCCTTGCATCAGTAATGAGTAAACAGAACAACCCGGACTTTGGCTTCATGGACTGGAAACAGAACAGGAGTCCATTAGAGAATTACTTCAAACATGTGATAAGTAAACGGTGTAAAGTGTTCACATCAGTGTTTAATCAATCAGTGTTACACCATAACCATTAACACACAGACGAGGAGACAACAATGTGACATTCGTGATATAGTTCGGTGCAATAATACCACACAAGCTCACCATGCTCCATCATCAACTATTCACAAACAACAGTCCATTAGTAGGCAAGGTGGGTTTTTTTCAGTTCATGTCATAGAGCTGCATGGATAGCCAAACAAATCCCATGTAATCCCTTGCAACTGATTAACTACTGAGTGAAAAGTGATCGGTTTCATGAGTGAGTGAGTTGGCTGTATTCCTACAGGGAACAATCGGGGAACAGATTGTCCATCAAGAGATAGGACCTTAAAGGAGGAGGACTTTCACGTTGTGAAACTGGTCAGAGAGGTCTATCTCTTCAGAGACATCCACAGACTCTTGTATGTGGAGACAAACCTGGGATCAACATCCAGGTAATTATGGCTGATAATGTCAGCTGCAGGGTAATATTATAAGTTGTTCACTGGTCTCGAGGGGGGCATGGGTTGATGTACCATCGAGGCCACATCAACCCATGGGCCCCGAGGGACCAGTGAACAACGTATTTATCTTACCAAACACCTCAATGGTAATTTTGAAGCACGGGTATCAGATCATAGTTAGTATGGAGTACAAGACAAGAAAAACAATTTAGAGTTATCTCCCTTCAATCGATTTGCATTCGCAAAACATGGGTAATTTCCGTACATCATACGTGATTCAATGTTATTCGAGATAAAGAATTACTACTACGAAGTACCAAATGAGTTCGGTATTCCCAGCGGGGTACATAGAAAATGTTACTCACTTGTAAGCGGGGTACATTGAAAATAATAGAAGAGCACTCAGCCAATCAGAAAACAACATTTATGTGTGAGGCAAGATAATACGCAATGTATTCTATTGAAACATGGCTGCATGTAGTTAGAACTGCCTGGAGGAATGAGACAAGTGCATGTCTGATTTCGTTTGGTTGGTTGGTTGTGTACTGCCGCATTCAGCAATATTCCAGCTGTATGGCGGCGGTCTGTAAATAGTCGAGTCTGGACCATCGATCTACACAACTGGGATTCGATGACTAGTGTGAACCAAGTCAGCGAGTCTGACCACCCGCCTCTTACTACAAGCATGGGTTGCTGAAGACCAATTCTAACCTGGATCTTCACTGATATATGTGAAGTGTTATATGTTAGAAGAACCTGAAACAAACATATCCAAGAAAGCCAAAGTCTGTAAACTTTTGCCAGTTCAAGTCTGACAATTAAGAAGCTTCCTTAGTTCCTTTTCATCCCATTTTAAGTTAATTTCCTAACTGTTTTTCTGTAAAATGATTTCATCTCAAAGACTAGAATTAGTCCAAAGATGCAACAGAATGATCTCCTTCTGACTATCAATCTTGAAGACTTCCGATTCTTCTCTTCATCACCACAACAGAATCTATCAACTCACAAACCTCAAGTAGATTAAATGTTTGTATATGTATTTCTTGGTCCTCACATATTCATATCAGGATAACCTCCATGAAATACACAATACCGAACAGACAACACAATACTGTGCCATCACCAGCTGTTCACCATACTACATCAACCAATATATATTCTGTCTGCTGCAGTCAACAATACTCTACATCACAGAGGTCTGTAAATACATCGGACCTGTGAACATTCGGGTTAGAATTGCTCTTCAGCAACCCATGCTTGTTATCGTAAGAAGTGACTAACGGGATGGGGTGGTCGGGCTCACTGGCTTCGTTGACACATGTCATTGAATCCCAATCACATAGATCAATGCTCATGCTGTTGATCACTGGATTGTCTGGTCCAGGTTATTTACAGACTACCACCATATAGTTGAAATATTATCGAGCGCACCGCTAAACAACAACCGAAGTGTAAATACATGGTGTCTGAACAACACAAACAGGTGATGAGAGCAACACTGTCAGCAGACTCGTACACCGTCACCACTAATTCCCTTCCTGGTTCAGAAACAAGCATGGGTGGCTTGAGGCCTTATCTGGCCTGACCAGACTCAAGGTCTGTTTGTACAGTACAAACACAAGCAACGACCTTGCAATACTTTAGGGAATACAGACATCTAAAAAAAGGGATTTCATTGATTATCCAACCCTAAAATAATGAAAGAGGAAAAACAAATCATGAAAAGCATGTCTGCCCTTTTCCACAGTCCAGCATGCTTCACATCGTGATCTGTAAACCCAGAAATGTAAGAAGCTGGTTGTCATGATGACCTGGACAGATGTAGAGGCAGTCACTTCCTACACTCAATACAGGACATAAACAAGCAAATGGCTAAATGATCAGATAGTTGATGTTACACTACATAACAGAGGCTGAAGGGCTACTGACACTTTAGATAACAAGTTCATTAGCATATAGAGATATTCCTCTCCGACATGACCGGATATGTTCACAAGATACTCAGCCGACTTTGCGGTCTTCGTGGCACATAAACCGACACATAGATGTTTAGCAAAGGGATATGACACTACAGAAGTGAACTCAAATTCAGTATCTCTACTTAGATTACCAATATCATCACAAACACCTGTGTCTCCAACATCTAGCTACACACCTGTATTAACTTGATTAACTTGATTACTTCAGACACTTGTGGTAACCTGTGTGCTACCTGTCTATTCACAACCAGAATCTTTACACACCTGTGTGTTACCTGTCTAGTCACAACAAGAATCATTACACACCTGTGTGTTACCTGTCTAGTCACAACAAGAATCATTACACACCTGTGTGTTACCTGTCTAGTCACAACAAGAATCATTACACACCTGTGTGTTACCTGTCTAGTCACAACAAGAATCATTACACACCTGTGTGTTACCTGTCTAGTCACAACAAGAATCATTACACACCTGTGTGTTACCTGTCTAGTCACAACAAGAATCATTACACACCTGTGTGTTACCTGTCTAGTCACAACATGAATCATTACACACCTGTGTGTTACCTGTCTAGTCACAACAAGAATCATTACACACCTGTGTGTTACCTGTCTAGTCACAACAAGAATCATTACACACCTGTGTGTTACCTGTCTAGTCACAACAAGAATCATTACACACCTGTGTGTTACCTGTCTAGTCACAACAAGAATCATTACACACCTGTGTGTTACCTGTCTAGTCACAAGAATCATTACACACCTGTGTGTTACCTGTCTAGTCACAACAAGAATCATTACACACCTGTGTGTTACCTGTCTAGTCACAACAAGAATCATTACACACCTGTGTGTTACCTGTCTAGTCACAACAAGAATTACACACCTGTGTGTTACCTGTCTAGTCACAAGAATCATTACACACCTGTGTGTTACCTGTCTAGTCACAACAAGAATCATTACACACCTGTGTGTTACCTGTCTAGTCACAACAAGAATCATTACACACCTGTGTGTTACCTGTCTAGTCACAACAAGAATCATTACACACCTGTGTGTTACCTGTCTAGTCACAACAAGAATCATTACACACCTGTGTGTTACCTGTCTAGTCACAACAAGAATCATTACACACCTGTGTGTTACCTGTCTAGTCACAGGCCTTGTACTTTGCCACTGATACAGACTTTGACACATTCAGTGTGAGAAGCTATGAAGCAGTGTGCAAAACAGCCACTGGCCTGCTAGTCCATGGCTAGTAAAAATCCAGTGAGGCCAGTAAATCTCACAGTCACTGTCCCGACTGACTAGTGAATTTTCATGGGAAGATTTTGCACATATATCACTCTCTCCGGCTTGTTATGTAATAATACACTTTTAAACCATGCAAGATTATGGCCTGAAAAAGTGTTCATCATATTAGGAGTTTAATGATGAAACCCATGTCATGCCGACAATATCTTATCCTCATCTATTTTTGTAATCTTTTGCTTAGTTCCTACATTCAAATTTTGGGCTATTGAGTTATTTTGTGGGCTAGTAACTTTCAGAAATAGCTAGCCCGTCTGGCTAGCAAAATTAGGACACAATTTCGCAAACTGTGAAGGCTATGTCATGTGTAAAACACAGACCATGTCGTGTGTTTATTGATACAGGCTTCGTCACATTCAGTGTTTACTAAATTACAATGTACATTGTGATCAGTAAAGCAGAACCTATATGATGTGGGCGGACAAATTCTAGCGGAAAATTACATAATGGCAGTATGGATAATGATAGTAGACTGTGCATTATTTATGGTCCTGTTTCAGTAAACACGATAGCATCACCAGCATCCCATTACCAGTTACTGAAGCAAGACACTACACGCCTACATACTGTATTACAGTCAACTCTCGTCAAATATATTCTGCATAACAGTTCAGGTTTTGTGGATGGACTTCCTTGGTCTTTATGCAAAGATAAAGGATATATAACACAAACTTCATATAGTTGTTTTCTTTTTCACTTTTGAAACTTTTACAAATTTACCAAAATGAAATACGCATTTTTTTAAAAATAAGCATTCTGAATGTTTGTTGTACCCTGCAACATAGTAGTTTTTTGGGGTAAATCAAGAACTTATTGGTCAAACTCCCAATCAGAAGAAACATTATAAGCCTAGGCCAATTTTATTTCTTGTTTTACGGATCCGCCTGTCTTATTGTTTCAAGAATAAGAAGAAAAAAAAAAAAAGTAATTGTCCCCGCTCAAAAACATAAAATCCTAATGTTTTTATTGGCCAAAAATGTAAACTTACAGAAAAAGTTTCTTTAGATTGTTTTTTTCCCCATATACACTTCATAAATTGCCAAAAGTAAAATACTTTGTGTACTTAAAAGGAATATTACTTTGACTGGTGATTTTTTTTTCCTCCTGCCTTTAGGTTTTCTGAGGACAAAAATCCATAAAACAAGAAATAAAATTGGTCTGGCCTAATGGAAATATTTCAATATA